TTTTTTACAAAAGTTTGTGCAAAAGCAATTTTTCACATTTGTTCAAAGAAACCACTCACGGTAATGAAAAACCATTTGCGTTGGTTTTTCACTATGCCTCCATCTTATTTTGATGAATAAAGTTTTGTGTTTTGGAAACAATTCTAGAGTAAAGTTTATTTGACAAGCTATAAAATTTTTACTATTTTATTTTTTTATCATTTCAAGTTTGTATGTACTGGCAATTGTAGTTTACGCCTAGTACACCTTGAAAAACATTTTTGCAAAACACCTTTTTGGTACCTTGCAAATTGAACCGTTCATTCACTTGTCAACCACTGTTCACATCTGCACACCTGCCTTTGTCTCGGCAAGCCTTGAAACTTGATCCCTCCCAGCATAGAGCCTAATATTAGTCTCGTTGTTGGTGCAGTGGGTGCTCCTCAAGTGTTTTCTGTACTTGCTGATAACACACACACACACACAACTATGCTTGTTATTAATTATGTCTGTGTCTTCTCGAGCGCAATATTTTCCATTCATTTATTATTTACACTCCACCGGACCACGCCGTTTATAAAGGAAAATGTTCACTCTTGTTCTTGCTCATTTTTCATTTTCTTTAAAAAAGTTGAGTCGTAGCACATTGTTTGTGCGGATATTGTTAATTGCGTCGCCATTTAAAGTGCCAGCCCAGCACTTTTGAAACCTTATTGAATTAGTTACGATTAGTTGTCATTTAGCAAGTTGAGCTTTTTACAAAAAAAGCTATATAGATTGCTTCGAATAGTTTTCAATTTGTCGTTTACGCTAATTGATTTTTTTTATTGTAAAAAGTTTTTAAAAATATTTTCAAAATACTAATTAAGCGTTGTTTATCTTTTAAATAATTTATAAACATTTTTGTATACTGGTAAAAATTTGTATAAAGTGATGTTGACATTTTTGACGTTTAATTTATCAATGTAATCGATATTTATTTTATAGTTGTGTTAAAGTTTACGTTAATTTTACATTTTTGNTATTGTAAAAAGTTTTTAAAAATATTTTCAAATTACTAATTAAGCGTTGTTTATCTTTTAAATAATTTTTAAACATTTTTGTATACTGGTAAAAATTTGTATAAAGTGATGTTGACATTTTTGACGTTTAATTTATCAATGTAATCGATATTTATTTTATAGTTGTGTTAAAGTTTACGTTAATTTTACATTTTTGACTTTTAATACAAATCAATACATTTTATTTTATCGTATTTTTCATGTATTTACTGTCAAAGATGCTTCACTGCATGGCATTTATAGAAAAATGTCACAACTGATAAAATATCGTTTTTATTTGTAAATGTTGCTGATTTCTATTTAAAATAATTTTTATAAACTAAATTAAATTTTTTTGGTTTTTGTTTTAAACAAGTTTTTTGAACTTTTTTCAAAAAGATTTAGTCAAGCAAACTTTTTACTTGCAACACTAAGATGTCTGTTGCAGAATCATCATTACTATTGTTGTCTTTTTCATTATTTACGATCAACTTAATTGTCACATTGTTGATTAATTATAGATAAAAAGTAAATATTTGCATGATTTGAAGTTGGAAGAATAACATTATAATATCATTGATCTGTTAACTACTTTACACACATGACTAATTAGAGCAATTAAACATATTGTACTGTTTTAGTGTTTTTTGGCAAAAATAATACTATTTTAAGGCATTAAGAATATAAATTTTTGGTAAATAGGATAAAACACTTCAGTTTACCACAAACAAAGCTTTTTTAAAGTTAATCTTTTTTTCAATGATAACTAAAAGTTGTTCAAATAAATTAAAAATAGAGAAAGTAAAACTTTTTGAAACGTTATCATTGGCGTCACTATTTAACATTATCTTTTCAAAAATAAATTTTGTCATTTGCACACCAATTGACCATTTAAGTAACAACAATAGTATTAGCATTTGTTATTTTTAAAATATTTGTCATTTTGTCGTATAAAATGTTTAGTTTATTGTATTCTAATAACAGTATCATAAAAAATTGGCACTTATTGACGTATAAAATTTTTGTTTTTTAATTATTTCAATGAATACTTGTATAAATTATTTATAAAGTTCAGATTGCTAAATTTCTCTGACGTATTTTTTTCTAAAGTCATAGACGTTAAATCAATAAACTGGCTTATGCATTAAATGCAATTAATTTTTTACAAAATTTTTCAACTTAAACTCCATTTATTCAGAAAAAGTAATCGATATGGGTTTTATGTACACATACTCATTTTTTATTTATTTGTAACTTTTACAAATGTGAAAAATACATTATTTTTAACCCGATTTGCCTACCATCTATTGTAAAAAGTCTGTACAGTTTTTGCAATTGAATTTATTTTGCAGTGATTTTAAAAATTAAAATTACTTTTGCAGCATTTCTTGGAACTGGGCATTGTTACCTTTTAGTAGAGTTTTTAGCATTTTACCTAAACACTGACCTATTTCAAATTGTATTGGGCGCAACTTTAGTTTTTTAACATTTTTTTGAAATGAATTGGAACCTAAGCGGATCAGCAGGAAGAGCATAAAGAATGTCTGTGTCAAATTCTAATCTTTGTTGCCCTTATAAGCAAAAGTAATGAAGAAACAAGCCTTGCTTATTTATGACAGACTAAAAGGGCGCACTGTCGCATTATGTCGTACACTTTAAATAATTCTCTTCATTTTTAAAGGAGTTTAAGTTTGTCCAAATTTTGCATTATTCACATTTGCATATTCCCTTTCAACTTGCCATTGCTCAAAGCAACACTTTCGTTTTTGGTAGCCGCTTTTAGACTTTTCATCGGAGATGTTCTTGTTCCAAAAAAGTAAAATCACTGCTGCTTCTAAAGGCGTGTCTGTATTGTCATCATTTCCCTTCAGTTTGAGTCATTGTCGAAAGCAGTCTAAGTTTGCTCGCAAAGGAAGTCTATTTTTATTTCGATCTCCCTCGTTGCAAGCGGCGGTGTGCCGTCTGTAGACCAGAATATTAAATGGTGAAGGAGCAGTGCATGGCGGAGATAGTGGTGGTGGTGGTGGCAGATTGAATACGAGCAGAGAACGTGAGCATGGCAATGACTGCAAACATGTCTTATATGGGCAGAGGACAGTGATCAGTGCTGTTGCCGGTGGGTGTTGCACTCACTCAGACACAGACTGCACTCAAGGCTACGCCCGAGTTGGAGAAACTTGCATAGAGCCGGCGATTTCACCGACTCTTCTGACACATTTCTCCCGGTCTTTTGCCATGTGCTGTGTGTGGTGGGGGTGGGTCTGGATGAGCGCAGCACGCTGCTGCTTCTGAACGACTGCCAAAAATAAGCAAGTAGCGGCACTGGCGCAAGTGGTGTCTCTTGCTGCTGTCTCCGTCCGCTTCTGCTTTTTTGCTTCTGCTTCTGGTGCTGCATCCCCTCGAGCATTGCCTGTGGAATGTGTCCGATCGCCCGGTTTGTCTGAGATTTCACAGTGAGATTTGTAAACTCTCTCGTTCATTCATCGCTCAGTCGCCAGTCGGGTACGGATCGTGCTGCCGTTCTTCAAACTTTTCTCTTTCTCCCTCTAACGTCTTGCCTCGCAAGTCCCTCAACAAAGAATCATGTGTGACGACGAAGTGACCGCTCTTGTTGTCGACAATGGCTCCGGTAATTTTCACTTTTACAACACCTGCTACCGCTTCCTCTTCTTTTGCTCTCTGTGCTTTTATAGCTTCAATATTACTCTGCTAAAATCATTTTTGCCAGTCTGACACTGCTTGTCTGCTTGTGGCTTTCTCAAATGACCATTTAGCAATTAGCCGTGAGGAAGTGGCCAACTGTTTCTAATGGTTGTCTGGCGCACATCAAAGTTTACTAATTCAATTATCAGTGCCATTAGTGAGTCATTTGCTCTGCCAACCATTACTGCCCCACGGATGCTACTTTTCAGTCATTAATATTTGATCAATTGAGATTGTTCACTTGTTTGGGGCAATTTTTAATCTACTTTGCCTCACTTTTTTAATTGTACAATCGATCTACATCACTGTCAATTGAGTCGTCTGGCCACTTGAGAATTTTAGTTGCACCCCAAAAATATTCTTTTTAATAACAAAATAATTTAATCTTTTTGAGAATCATTAACCAAATGAGAATTCCTGCGCACCTTACGGCCATCTGGCCCACAACGCCAGCATGTCTCTCAATTGGCTTAATTGTAAGCTAATTTGCCCCCTAAGAACGTAAACTTTTAATTGCTCCATTGTATTAGTATTCCAAGAATGTGAAGATTTCAGAGAATCTCCTCTCAACATTCTCTGCGTGAATTCTTCTTTTTTCTCTCTTTGAGTTTGGGCGTGCTCCGTCTGGCGTCTGCACGGTTGTTCTGTTTTGTTCTGTTCTGTTCTGTGAAATAGTGTCGGATAATCTTCTGCCCTGCAGATGTAGGAGGCTAAATATAGCCATGCGCTCTTGCTACTCAATTCAGGAGGGGGCGATACTTTTGCTGGTGCGCCTTCTCACTGTGGGTGCACGCTTTGAGAATCGAGGCCAGAAGAATTCGATTGGCGTGTGTAGTAACCTCGACACTGCATCCGTGATTTTGCTGCCAAATTTGGCCATTGCTCGTTGCAGCAATGTGCTCACTCCTTCATCGGAGTACTTTAGCATCCGAGAATAGCATTTGAGGCGATGAGGCCACTTTTTTTGAACATTACCAGTGGCCATTTTCTTGGTAGTTCTTTCTACTTTACTGAGGCCAATGCTAGTGCCACTGTGCACTGGGCAAATGGCACTGACGCAATTCAATTCAGTAGATGGCAGTGCAGATTAATATCTCCATAAATGAGCTCAAGCGTTAAAATCTAGATTGACAATTCTGAGCGAATATTTATGAGGGTGCTCTCCATTCTATCGAACCTTGGTCAAGTGTAAGCAAGGCCCTTTCTTGGCAAAGTAATGGCCTGGCACTTTAATTATGATGAGTAAAAGACCGTCGCTAGACGTTAGTGGACAATTTACACTGGTACAGTGCACTTTGTGATCATTTAAGAGCTGCAGTTGCTTTAGTTTGTAGTTGCTCGCTCTGACTTGTTTTTTCCCATAATACTTGTTTGCCCTTGCAAAGACTAACCCCGTCAATTTGTGCACTCGATTTGTCTTCTTAACCGTTTCCCCTCCTCTTGTTTGAAGGCATGTGCAAGGCCGGTTTCGCCGGTGATGACGCTCCCCGAGCCGTCTTTCCCTCCATTGTCGGCCGACCCCGTCACCAGGGTGTCATGGTGGGCATGGGCAACAAGGACTCGTACGTCGGAGATGAGGCCCAGTCAAAGCGAGGTATCCTCACGCTGAAGTACCCCATTGAGCACGGCATCGTCACTAACTGGGACGACATGGAGAAGATCTGGCACCACACCTTCTACAATGAGCTGCGAATTGCTCCCGAGGAGTCGCCCGTCCTGCTCACCGAGGCTCCCCTCAACCCAAAGGCCAACCGAGAGAAGATGACTCAGATCATGTTCGAGACCTTCAACACCCCCGCCGTGTACGTGGCCATCCAGGCCGTGCTCTCGCTGTACGCCTCAGGTCGTACCACCGGTATTGTCCTCGACTCCGGAGATGGTGTCACCCACACTGTGCCCATCTACGAGGGCTACGCTCTGCCGCACGCCATCCTCCGTCTGGACATGGCTGGCCGAGATTTGACTGACTACCTGATGAAAATCCTCACTGAGCGCGGTTACTCCTTCGTCACCACCGCTGAGCGAGAAATTGTCCGCGACATCAAGGAGAAGCTGTGCTACGTCGCCCTCGACTTTGACAATGAGATGGCCACCGCCGCCACCTCCAGCTCGCTGGAGAAGAGCTACGAGCTGCCCGACGGTCAGGTCATTGCCATCGGCGGTGAGCGGTTCCGCGCCCCTGAGGCCCTCTTCCAGCCTTCCTTCATTGGTATGGAGGCGGTGGGCATCCACGAGACGGCCTACAACTCTATCATGAAGTGCGACATTGACATCCGAAAAGATCTTTTTGCCAACACGGTCATGTCCGGCGGCACGACCATGTACCCCGGTATTGCCGACCGAATGCAGAAGGAGATCACCGCCCTCGCCCCTGCCACCATCAAGATCAAGATCATCGCCCCGCCGGAGCGCAAGTACTCCGTCTGGATCGGCGGCTCCATCCTCGCCTCCCTTTCCACCTTCCAGCAGATGTGGATCAGCAAGCAGGAGTACGACGAGGCCGGCCCAGCCATCGTCCACCGAAAGTGCTTCTAAACACCTGCACTTCAGCCCCCACTGCCACCCCTNCACCCAGTGCTGCTGTTCATGGCTGACTGAGACTCTATTTTACCCAATCCTATCCTATCTATTTATTATTCTAATTCAATGTTAGCTTTGAGCTACGCATGGCTGTCCACAATCACACCCAATCACACTCACACCGACTGTTTTGTACCACCATCACCCCCTCCTAAAGCCGTTGCATCTTTAGCTAATAATTTGCCAAGTTATTATTACTGCCCTAAGATGTCTGCCTAAAGAATAACTCGCGAATAAAACGGTTCAAATGAACGACCAAAGGCGTTTTGAGGGTTGCTAAAATGAACTTTTTTTTGGCAAGCTTGGTGAACTGGAAAAAACATGATTTATGGCACTTTTGATGATTCCGAAGAACATTTTGCTCTTGATTGCTAGTTTGAGATGATGATNGGGGTTGCTAAAGTGAACTTTTTTTGGCAAGCTTGGTGAACTGGAAAAACATGATTTATGGCACTTTCGATGATTCCGAAGAACATTTTGCTCTTGATTGCTAGTTTGAGATGATGATTTGATTTCAGGCTCGACAAGGAACGTCAATTTAAAATTTTTTACAATAAAATATTCCTGATTGTAGTTTTTGCTTCAAGAAAACTTGATGACCTATTTTAAAAATTCTTGCTGTTTGACAACTTGAAATGAAAAGTTCATGTTGACATTTGAGGGTGACAAGAAAATGCAATTTTATTTTCATCATCACACACAAAACTTTAGTTTAGCATAGAAAACACGACACAATCTTTTGTCTTGACAAAAACAAATCAAATTGTCGTACAATCATTTGCTTTTATACTTTCGAAAGTGGGTAGCAGTGTTCAGTAGTTGGCCAGATGTCTAGATGGAGCAGTTTTTTGTCTGACGGAGGAAACGTGTAAAGATAATTAAAAACGGAAACTTTCCAACGGTGTAAGTGCACTGGAGAAAAAAAAGGATTTAATTGACCTAGACATTTAGTTTGAGGTACATTGTTTTATAGCAGCTACATCTTCATTTGTGACTAGACACGCCGTTGATGACTCGAGCAAATCTGAGGATCTGAGGAAATGACTGGAGAGATTATATTCTCAGGTTAGCAGTTTAAATATGGTGGCCTAGTTGGTTGTTTGAACTTTGACATCTTATTTTTAAACTCATCATTGTTGATGAATTTTAAAATATTTGTTGCCTAATCAGCAGACTTTGCTCCCATAGAGGTACCAGACATTGCAAACACGACAACAATGCTTTCTAATTGCACTCATTAATGCAACATACGCCATCAGAGTGCTCGACGAGTGACGCAAACAACGTCTGCAGTACAGGCAGACAGATAGAAGTACTCTTTGTGCCCTTCCATACTTTTGAGTGAGATGGGCTTGAAAAAGTTTAAAAGTTTAGCTAATAACAAATTATTCTTTTGCAGTATTTTATGATCTAATTAATTGCCAGCATTTTTGGGCATTTAAAGTTAATTTTAGATTTGTTTTGATTCCACGGGGAGTGTAGCTGTACACTGATTGTACCGAAGAAAAGGTACTAACCAAGTGGCCATTAACCAGTGTGCAGCAGCAGCAGCAGCAGTGGCAAAAGCAGCAGTAGCTTATCTGCCGTCTGTTTAGTGCAGCGTTGATAATGGCGGCAACTGTTTTCTCAACGCGAAAGTATTGCAGCTGGCAGTGGGAGAGGGAGAGAGCAAGGAAAAGTCAATGGCAACCACCTAAAAAGATGCTTTTAATTTGGTCAATTCAGCAGCACCAGTGTACTAGATTGCGTCTGTGTCAATTTAAATTGCACTTTACCCCTCATGAGAACAATAATAAAAAATGGTTTCTAAATAATATTTCCAAAATGTTGACTTGTTTCTCACACTACTGTTGTCCAGTTTTTATAGTCACATCAACCTCATTTTAATGGTCACAAGTTTTCCAAGTGAGCCTCTAAAACGATTTACAACATTGAGTTAATTAGGCGGCACTGAAGCTTACTTTGAGTCACTTTGAAACGCTTTTCAGTGTTTAGATGTTGGTTAGAAAAGTTTTGATTTCCCAAAAAGAAGCGATTTTAAACTTTGCACTTACCAAAAAGAATAATAATGATAAGGTTTGCTTACTGGATCTTGCAGCAAACAAAGGTGGCAATAAACGGTTATTTGCGTCACTGGACGGCACTTTTTTTTAAGTCAACACGCCTCTACTTTGAAACTGTACATGTCAACAAATATTTCAGATACGGTTTACCTGGCAATATAATCAGTTTGAATTGCTGCAGTTTTTAAATCTAGTCCAATGCACTTTTGTTATAAATAGAAAATGTACCTGCGCCAAACGAAAGAATAAGTTTTTTATTAAAATATTTTAAAACTAATGAAAATGTATTATTGTACTTGTAATTAAAATAAATTGACACCAAATGGAAACAATTATTTGTTCATTGGAGTAAAATTAATGCCTTTGTATCTAGCTGGCTAGCGTGTGTTGCTATTTATAGAATAGTCCTAGTGAACCATTTTTACAAAGTTTCTCTTTTTGGTACTGTTACTTTGAAATAACGACACATGCACACACACACCGCTATCGATCGGGCATTTGCAAGAGTTCTCAGCTTTGCCAGTAGTTTTAGTCACTTGACTTTCACCTTTGTTTTTTGTTTTTTTCGGGCCAAGGAACAAGTGTCGTGTCGCTACGGGCAACTGGCTTTTCGATATAGCGGTGAGGAGGAAAGAGAGAGAAGAAGAGTGGAAAATATTTTAACTTTGCGGGAACTTTGTTTTTGGAAAGAGGGAAAGAGAGAAAGTGTGTGTAGATGGTATTAAATGCAATTACAGTCTGTGAATTGATGGACAGAATTTAATTAAAACCACAAGCTCAACAACACATCAGCGAGCACTCGACGGCAGGCACTTGAGGACTGCTGGTACAGCAGTGGCGGTAGTTGTAGGCGAATGAAAAATGTCAATTATCAGAGCAGATTGAGATGACGAGAGAAAGTCTACTTGGGGTGGATGGGTGGCAAATAATAAGGCAAAGTGCATTCACTGGCACGGCCTGGCATCTCCTCTGCTAGGTGTCCATGATCAATTGCCGCTCTCCTCCTCCGCTGAGCACTACACTGCTGGCATCTGCTTCCGTTAGACAGTTTCTTTCTTTTGCTTGATGTGCTTGCTAATTGAGTAGCCCGATTTCATGGCTTATGGAGGCACTGCACGATGCTCTTTCCCTTTTTCTCTCTCTCTCTCGTGTCGCAATGTCACTCGGTCAAATATGGTAGCCGAAGAATGTGCTCAAAATTAGGGTTTCTGCCATTTGCTGGCGCTAAGCAAATTAGCCAAATGTAATCTCTCAACAACTGGCAAGTTCAGTTGATTACATAGCAACAAGCTTTTCATGGAAACGGCAACAGCGGCGGCGGTGGCGGCGGCACTACTCTGACCACCCTACAGTTGGTCGTTTCGTCTGCTGAATTTCGCAATGAATCGTCGAACGCACACGCCTGTTTCTCTCTTTCATTTTTGTAGTCTGCCTGTCTGGCGCAGACTGTGCACACTTGTCCTGTTTGTCTTTGCGAATAGCGACCACCCTCACAAGGTCATCGATTTGCAGTACTACTGCTGCTGCTGCTGCTGTTGTGTTGAAGTGAACAGAGTGTATCTTCACTCATTCTATCATTACTTGGCATCTCTCATTTTTTAAACTCTAGCAACTCTAAACTTTTCTGTTTCAGTAGTGGACGCTTTTCGGGCACAGGCACTTGACTGGCTCGACTGTAGTGGAGTTACCAGTTGTCTCTCCTTGGACAGTTTCACTCTCTCATTGGTGGCGTGCGCGCGCTAGCAACCATTCTCTCTCTCTCCCTCTTTCGGTGTGAGTGTCACTAATGAATGCGCGGCCACCTTGTCATTTGCGCCCGGCGCAAAGTCAATGAAGCAATCGTGTGTGAGTGCACACCGCAAGATTAGGTTCTTTGGCTAATTTTGCCATCTCTATCTTTTTCTGTGTGCGTTAATTTTACCCCTGTCGGACCTTTGGGCTGGAGTGAAGCAGTACGGCACAAGCACATCTCTCTCTCTCTCCCTCTCTACCTGTTATCGTCTACTCTCCTCCACCGCCCCTCTTTGGCTGGGTAGTGATCAGCAGGAGGAGCAGTACCGCCATCAGTGTGCCCTAGTCCATCCACAGCTGACTAGTCATTGTCACACACTCCGACACATGTCTGAGCAAGGCAGAGGCTCGCAGGCACTCGCTCACCCACACTTACACTCATTCACTCACTCACTCACTCTCACGCAGTCAGACGCATTCTGTGCGGCGTGGATGCACCAGCGGCAGCTCTGTGGTCGTCGTATATAAAGGCTGATCGCGCGCCACTGCCGGTCGTGTTCTCGTTCTTGGCTCGTCAGCGCCAAACGGTTCGGTGGTTGCTTCCCTCTCTGTCATCCCCCATCTTTCACCCTGTGTGTGTGTATGCCCCTCGTGAGCATCACCTCACCGTGTCACCAGCACACACTCAACTGCCGTCACCGTCTGACCACCTCAGCTTTAGTTTGCACAGTGTACCTCAGTCTCTTCCAGTGAGCACCTTTTTCTTGTTCCCTGCAGCACCGTATGTATCCACCACTTGTTCACTCAGCACTACCACACTAATCACTCGATCGGTGTTTTCCCCATTCCGAACTATCTATCTTTTTCTTCTTTTTTGCACTTTTATTTCCCTTTCTCAAACTGGTTTTGGTTTTGTTGTTGTTGGTGTTCTTTCCGAAAGCACATTTCCTCTTCAGAATGTGCCGCAGAGAACTGCTAATATTATTTAGTAATGTACAGTTTGTTTCAGTGGCAATGGAAGCATCTGACCAGTATCAAGCACTGTTTGTTTGCAGTTGGCTATCACGCTCCTCATAAAAGTGTGCTAGCTAGGAGCCAGATGTTCAATTTAAGCATTTTGTTGATAGCGCTATTTACATGCAAAACATTTAGCACTCCTTATTGCTGTCGCCGTCAGTTAGTTTTTTACTGGTAACCGCTGTCATTGCTGTCGTAATTAAAGCAAGCTTTTTTTATTGTCAGTTTTGCCTAGAGATTTTTAATTTTCACTTGCAATTTAGAGTCAAATCGGACACAGTCGATGAGTCAGTGATGTCATTAACTTGATGAATTGTAGTTGAGTTGTGGCAGGCGTACTTGTATTTGTCAGCACTGTGTGTGTGTTTGCCCTGCGACAACACACTGACACTTGATTATTATTAGGATTTAGGCATCAGCAGTTGTAGCCTTCACAAAGCTGAGAATCAAAACTAGCAGATGCAACAGGATACTAAAAATGGTGATTCAGTGTGCTGGACTTGATCACTGAAGTTGGTTACTCTTGCCAATTCATAGATCACGCTTCGCCGACAGTGTGTGTGTGTGTGTGTTGCATTGCCATCTAGTAAGCACAAGTAATCTGCTGGTAGCATCATAGCCGCCGCTTGCAGCAGCAGCCATTCGGTGCACACAGCCCGCCAATTCAAAAGGTGGCTCTTTTGCCGCCGCAGCAGCAGCTGCAACTGTAACTGAACTGAAGTGCAGCCCGAAGACAGTCGAACGCCCGGCTGACTGGCGGCGCCAAGGCACCCAGCAATTGTTGTGTCTCCTACTTTAGCAGCCGACTATAAATATATCAACTTTACCAATTTCCACTTGCTCTTTCTCTCTTTCTCTTTCTTCTACTATTTCCCTACTACTTCTCTACCATTTCCTCGTGTATCTATTCTTCCTCACCGATCGAGCACAGACACGACGATGATGATGATGAGCCATTCCATTTTAACAGTTTGATTGTTTTCTCCTTCTCCTTTTCTTTTGTCACTTGGCTTTGAATTTGCTTAGAATTTGCCAGCCAGTTTGCTGTTAGAGGTCATCAACAACTGGTGTGACCTCGATTCAATTTTTGTCTCCCCTCACATTCATCTCTAGTCGCCTTTGGTGGTTTTTGAACAGTCATCGTCCGCTCAACTTTAGACATATAAACTCTGTGTACATTTTTAGGCAGCAGCCACAACCTTTTGGACAAATCAACTCAAGATGGTAAAAAAGAGCTTGCGCGCGCAGTTTTGTCTTTGGAAACGCCAACGCCAGTGTTTGAACTTCTCTAACGCATGTTCTTTCCACCTCTTTACAGGGCAAAAAGAAGGACAAGGATAATCTGGATGACCTCAAGCAGGAGGTCTCCATGGATGAGCATAAGATCCCACTTGCGGAACTCCTTTCTCGGCTAACCACGCATGCGGAGCATGGCCTGACACAGTCTCGGGCAAAGGAGGTGCTTGAGCGCGACGGACCGAATGCGCTGACGCCTCCCAAGCAGACGCCAGAGTGGGTCAAGTTTTGCAAGCAGCTCTTTGGCGGTTTCGCGCTCCTTCTCTGGATTGGCGCCTTCCTCTGCTTCTTTGCCTACGCTATCCAGGCCACCTCGGAAGATGAGCCCCAGCCAGATAATGTAAGGAGATTGGGGAGTATAAACTCTTTTCCTTACTAATCCCTTTTATTCTCTTGTTTAGCTTTACCTCGGTATTGTGCTGTCAGTTGTGGTCATCATCACCGGCTGCTTCTCCTACTATCAGGAGTCAAAATCGTCTGCCATCATGGAATCTTTCAAAAATCTGGTCCCTCAATATGCCACTGTTGTCCGGGACTCCCAGAAGCATACTATTCCCGCTGAAGAGGTGGTCGTGGGCGACATTGTGGAGGTGAAGGGCGGTGATCGAATTCCCGCCGACATTCGTGTCATCAAGGGTAAGGACTATTTTTAAAAACAATGAAAGCAACAAAAGAGACTAAAACACTGTTTATTTCAGCTCAAAGCTGCAAGGTGGACAACTCCTCGCTGACTGGTGAATCTGAGCCGCAAAGCCGAACTCCTGAATTTACCCACGAGAACCCGCTGGAGACGCGTAACATTGGCTTCTTCTCCACCAACTGCGTGGAGGGTGCTGCCACGGGCGTGGTCATCAACACCGGCGACCGAACCATCATGGGTCGAATTGCCAACCTGGCCTCCGGTCTGGAGATGGGCGAGACGCCCATTGCCCGCGAGATTGAGCACTTTATCCACCTCATCACCGGCGTGGCGGTCTTCCTCGGCGTCACCTTCTTCATCATTGCGTTCATCCTCGGCTACCACTGGCTCGATGCCGTCATCTTCCTCATCGGTATCATTGTCGCCAACGTGCCCGAAGGTCTGCTCGCCACCGTCACCGTCTGTCTCACCCTCACTGCCAAGGTAATCAGTGCAAATTGAACTTGAAGTGTTTAGATTTTAAACTTCTTTTTTGTCTTTTAAAACAATAGCGAATGGCCAGCAAGAACTGCCTGGTGAAGAACCTGGAGGCCGTAGAGACGCTGGGCTCCACCTCGACCATCTGCTCTGACAAGACGGGAACACTGACCCAGAACCGAATGACTGTCGCCCACATGTGGTTTGACAACCATATCATCGAGGCTGACACCACTGAGGACCAGTCTGGCATTCAGTACGACAAGTCCTCCTCTGGCTGGAAAGCACTCTCTCGCACCTGCATGCTCTGCAGTCGTGCCGAGTTCAAGGGAGGCCAGGAGAATGTGCCCATTCTCAAGCGGTAAGCGAACAAGAGCCGTTTTGTTTACATTTTTTTCTAATTCATGTCTTAGTGACTGCGCCGGTGACGCTTCTGAGACTGCCATTCTGAAGTGCATGGAAATTGCCATCGGCAACGTTCTGGATTACCGCCGAAAGAACCAAAAGGTGTGTGAGATTCCCTTCAACTCGACCAACAAGTACCACCTGACCATTCACGAGCCTGCTGAGGGCGGCGGCTACCTGATCTGCATGAAGGGCGCCCCGGAGCGAATCCTCGAGCGTTGCAGCACCATCTTTATCAACGGAGAGGAGAAAATTCTGGACGATGAAATGAAAGACGCATTCAACAACGCGTACGTTTCGCTTGGAACTTTGGGAGAGCGTGTCATTGGCTTCTGCGACTTGAAGCTGCCGGCTGACAAGTTCCCTAAAGGCTATCCATTTGATGCGGACGAAGTGAACTTTCCCGTGAACAACCTGCGCTTTGTTGGTCTTGTCTCCATGATTGATCCTCCCCGAGCTGCTGTCCCCGACGCTGTTGCCAAGTGCCGATCTGCTGGCATCAAGGTCATCATGGTCACCGGTGATCATCCGTAAGTCATCGATTGTGTGTAAAATTTATAGTATTTTTGTAAACATTTTATCTTTTTTTAGTATCACCGCCAAAGCCATTGCCAAGGCTGTGGGAATCATCTCGGAAGGAACGGAAACTGTTGAGGACATTGCTGAGAGACTGAGCATCCCCGTGGAGGACGTCAACCCCCGAGACGCCAAGGCCGCCGTCGTGCACGGTCAAGAGTTGAAGGACATGTCGCAGGAGGAGCTGGATGACATTCTGCAGCACCACACGGAAATTGTCTTTGCTCGTACCTCTCCGCAGCAGAAGCTCATCATTGTGGAGGGTTGCCAGCGAATGGGTGCAATTGTGGCCGTCACCGGTGATGGTGTGAACGACTCGCCTGCCCTGAAGAAGGCCGACATTGGAATTGCCATGGGCATTGCCGGCTCTGACGTGTCGAAGCAGGCTGCCGACATGATTCTGCTTGACGACAACTTTGCCTCCATTGTAACCGGAGTAGAAGAGGGCCGTCTGATTTTTGACAATCTGAAAAAGTCTATTGCCTACACACTGACTTCAAACATCCCCGAAATTTCGCCTTTCCTCTTTTTCATCGTCTTCAACGTGCCGCTGCCTTTGGGCACCGTGACCATTCGTAAGTCTAAATTGGGGATTGTTATGATAATTCAATTTTAATATTTTCTGTTTTTCAGTTTGCATCGATCTCGGCACTGACATGGTACCTGCCATCTCTCTGGCTTACGAACAGGCCGAGAGTGACATCATGAAGCGACAGCCTCGTGACTCGCAAAAGGACAAACTGGTGAACGAGCGCCTCATTTCCGTTTCGTACGGACANATTTTTTTTCAAAAAACTAAAAAATTGTATCACTAGTTTGCATCGATCTCGGCACTGACATGGTACCTGCCATCTCTCTGGCTTACGAACAAGCCGAGAGCGACATCATGAAGCGCCAGCCTCGTGACTCGCAAAAGGACAAATTGGTGAACGAGCGCCTCATTTCCGTCTCGTACGGTCAGATTGGCATGATCCAGGCGGCCGCTGGTTTTTTCGCCTACTTCACGATCATGGCGGGCAACGGCTTCACAGGATGGTCATTGTTCGGCCTGCGTGAGCAATGGGACAGTAAAGCTGTCAACGATCTTGAGGACGCTTATGGCCAGCACTGGGTATGATAAGTTTAAAATAGTGTGTGTTTTAGATTAATAATGTTTTACACTCTTTTCTAGACTTACAAAAGGCGTAAGGATCTTGAGTACACCTGCCACACTGCGTTCTTCGTTTCCATCGTTGTTGTGCAGTGGGCCGATCTGATCATCTGCAAAACTCGACGAAACTCCATTGTTCATCAGAAGATGACGTGAGTGCTTTTGAGGTAGTTTCTTTTTTTTAGTAAATTTCTAATCCATCAATCAACTCAGAAATCACGCGCTCAACTTTGGCCTGCTTTTTGAGACGCTGCTTGCCGCCTTTCTTTCTTATTGCCCCCACATGGACAAGTTTCTTCGATTATACCCTCTCAAGTAAGTTTTCATGATAATCTGTGCTTGTTTTAATGTGTTTTTTAATCGGCAAAAAGATTTGAATACTGGCTGCTTGCGTTGCCATTCAGTTTGTTGATCTTTGTGTACGACGAGGCCCGACGATTCATCCTGCGTCGCAACCCAGGCGGATGGGTGGAGATGGAAACCTACTACTAAAAGTCAACAGCAAGCACCAATTGGCCCTTCAATTTTCACCTTTTTTCTCTAGGTAGCTTCTAATTGTTCAATTCACACACACACACCTAGTGCACCTGTTTGTTTTATTTATTTGTCATCTTCCCCCTCGTTTGCTCTCTTTCTCTCCTTTTCTCATAATTTATATTACATACACTTCCATCTTTTCCTTGTAATTTTTTCCTTTCAACTACCAGTCACAAGGCACCAAGCTTTTTGTTCTTAACATTTCTACTTTACAAAAGTAGCTGTATAGAAAAAGAAAAATAATAGACACGTTAAATCTCAGTTATATGATCTGTTAATTTCGTTTCAATTAATTTGAGTTATATACAATAAAATTAACAAATTTAATAATTTTGATTTGGCGAGTGATAAGTTGATAAAGGTGTAAATAATTTACAAATTTTGTTGTCTACAAGCAAACCCAAAATTAATCAATTGATCCAAAACTAGTGTTCTATAAAGAGTTTTTTTATTTTATCAATAGTAATTTCCAAAAAAAACAAGTTAGCAAAACTTTGCACCGAAAGTGTGTGTTGATTAAAATTTTGTCGACTTGTCTTTTTGGTGAATAATGGGTGATAAAATGGAAGAACTGCTTGTATTTGCACTGTGTTTCCACAGTTATTATTCAATTTATGCTTGTTTTAGAATCAAATAAAGTTTACGAGCTGCTACTAACAGCTTTCTAGACTGCATTGGGCACTTTTTAACGGATCGAGTTCTTCATTCTGTACTGATTCTCAAATGAAATTTGCCTTTTTAGTCTCCCAGAGGGCGCTAGAAGTCTCATTGTCGACGGCGAAATTCATTTGATGTACCAAGTTTGTGAATATCGCCTTTTGAAATAATTTTCGCATCAGTTGAAAACTCTGTGAGTCATAGTTTCTGTTTTTGTTGCAATCTCAGTGTGTCATTGACCAGCTAGAGTGCTGTGTCTTTGTGTATTTGAAAGGCTTTTTCTTAAATTGATTTTATTGTTTGCAATTTTAAATACTGATTGCCCAAAATGCTGAAAACTCCCGGTTTGGTATGCGATGATTACGAATGATTATGTTGTAGTATTTGCTCTACTTTTTCCCGTTTTCAGGGCCGTCGCAAACAGACAAAGCTACCCGGCAAACGGCATTCCACCTTTCCAGTCGGGACATCACAAAATTCGCTCAACACAAAAGAAAATGACCCTGCTCACAGTCCATCTTTATCGACAAGTGGCAACACGTTGTCAAACATTGAAGCTGACGTGCCGCCTGAAATCATTGACCTACTTGATGATGAAAACAACTCAATGGATGTCAATTCGAGTGATAGTTTTTCGGATGATGTAAAGCAACCAAAGTCCGCTCTAGAGAGCAAAGACGTTCACAGTGATGAGCCCAAAGTGCCTACCAATGTGCGTATCAGCTAGTCTGCTTTTATCTGCTTATTCGCTTTTAATTTTGTTTGTTTTAGCTTAAGCAAGCTTTGTCTGATGATGACGATTCTAACTCCAAGCAGACGACTAAGAAACGTAAAATTTCGGTCACCAACAACATGTCTATCACACACTTTTTCAAAAAAGTCGAAAAGAAAACAGAAGATGCGCCAGCTAATTTACCATCAACTTCTGCAGATCAGAATCCTCCAAAGCAAACTCTCAACGCATCAAACCATTCGCCATCAACTTCTGGAAAGTCGACTTTGAAAAAACGTTCTCCTGATGTGAGTGTACTTTGTACTAAAATTTTTTTATAAATGACATTTGTTTTGTTACAGTTGAAAACAGTACTGCCGTTGCCAAAACCGGGAACTAAAACATACAACAACCTCGAAAAGAACTGGCGTTTTTATGTAGAGACTGAAGAAATTAAATCAAAAGAGCCATCTCGAGAGTTTAAAGATATTTTTGAAACCTTATACAAGAAGTACAAGTTCAAACACCAAAGATCTGCACACAAAAAGTATCTTGCCAACAAAGCACGAATTGAAGCATCCGGCGAATCTATTTCACTCGACCACCCGTTTGATCGACGTTTAATAAGAATTTTGACAATTCCGCAAGAAAAGGCGTTTAAAGCTGAACGTCCAAAACGGACCAAGTTCACACGTATTGCCTCTACTGAAACATCCGATAACGATTCATTCGAAAACTTACAAATCCAAGTACCTTCTGACGATGTTGTACGCCGACCTGTTGATTTGTGCAAAGTGTACTGGAATATTTATCAACAAGTTCTACAGAAGCATCTTATTGATGGTCTTACTACTGAAGAAGCTTCTGAACTGGTGGCAAAAAGCAGCAACAACAGATTCACTGCTAGTACTGTTTTAACTATATTTAGAACCACTGCACAACAAATAACAAAAGCTGAAAAAAAGTATTCAGTTTACCAGCAGATGGACAGTGAAATTTATGAGATAATTTCTCCAAATACTTACGCTTCTCAAAACGAGTTTGTGGTAAATCGTAAACATTCGTTTAAAACTGAAATGGAAAAAGCAGTAATGGAGAACATTCCTGATGGCGAACAACTTTCATTCGTTGCTGAAAAATGTGGAACATCAATCCGGAAGGTCCGCATGTGGTACGTTCAAGAGAGAGTCCAAGAATGCAAAAACAGAAAAATTGGCGTAAGTTTGCTGTAAAAATAATTTTACGTAAATTTTAATTTTCCACTTTACTTGACACAGAGCTCTCACATGTTGACAGAAATAAAGCATCAGGCTATCACTTCACTCGACAATCTAGCAACAAACGAATTATGCGTTTTGACTGATATTGAATCAACTCTTCTTTCCCACTTTGAGCCTGGTTTAGAACCATACACAATCAAGTGTTCTCTACTGCACAACAATAATACAGCAAGTACTATTGGTTTTCTTTTTGAATCAGACAGTGCACTCCTTGACCAGGTCAAAGAGCACATGACTTGGTGTCATTTCGATTACTACCAGCAACTCAAAGAGGGAAATGTCAAGACTAATGTTGCTGTGGTATGTTGCTTTTATCTGATTAAGTTTATTTTGTTGCTAATTGTTTTCTTTCGTGCAGCGAGAAGACGTTCATCGCATTTTTTCTACCGTAACAAACGCTTTAACTTCGCCTTTGATGCTCAGCAACTTGCTTACTCTGCGACATTCTCGAGTTTCATACGCCACTCTCAGAGCAGAAAAGAGCAATCACGATCTTTCATTCGAATTTTTTCCTGAATCAGCTTCTGGAATCAGTGCCAAAGAAAAATGGATTTTCTCATTTTACGTTGCAGACAAAAAGACTGATCGATTTAAATGCAGATTGTTTCATGCAAAATCGGTTACTTTAAGCGATGAAGTTTATTTTGAAGATGGAACACTGATTGCTGACCATTTGATGTATCATCTGAATCATGTTCATGGTATCTCAAAAGATTACGGTGAAACAAACAATTCGTATAAAGATTCAACAACTGGGCAGGAAATATGTTTGCGATCAGTAGTATGTATTTGAATAATTATATTAGATGCACAGCTGATTTATTTTTAAAATTACAGCCTTCTAAAACAGTAGATTTGCTAAACCGAAAGTTAGACGTGCACAAATTCCCTTTTCAAGTCCAGACTCAAAACACCATCTGTGCATCTGGATTTATTGAAAAAAACTCTCCACTCGTTGATTTAATGGACACAACTGACTATTCGTCTTTTGCAACTACACTTTGCGAAGAAGATTTTAAAACTTTGTGCTTTTTCAAGCCTTTAAGTGGTGGAAAAGTGATATGTCGCCTTTCTCACACTGGAAACAATGTGATTGACTGTACTCGCGAAGGTAGTGACGAGTCTTACGCATTGAGGAAACTGCGAGAGCATCTTATTTCAAGCCATTATATGAACAAAACAAAAGCAAACAACAAGACAGTAGCTATTATTGGCGGTGCCAAAATATCGCTTACAAAAATGGTATTTTTGTTGTAACCTTTAACTCTTTAACCATACATTCGTTTTGCATTCTAATTGTGTTGTTTTTAGCCTTTTGATATTTTCCAGTTTTACTACGATATTGTTCACAATGATGGTCCAGCTGCGTCAGTTTCAAGTGAGAATCACTCTATCTCAACATTCGCAATTAACCTATCTGATGTTGCCGTCCCATTACCTGAATCATCGTCACCGCGCACTGAAATGTACCTCATTAAACAACTTCCCAGTTGTTTTTTCAAAATCGCTAACTCTGATGAAGAGTTGCTGAGAGTCCTAAATATAGGTCGAAATGTTCGTCTGATGATTGCTGAGTCGAATTCAAGATCTACTCTCACAACTTCACGCAATTACATTGCATTTCTGAAAATGGCAGCTAATTCTGTCTACGACTTTATTGATGCAGTTGTTTACACTGGCTTCACTGAAAATGATGACGATAACAGAATCATGTCGTATGTCAAAGATTTACAGCAGCTCATTGATGGTCATCTTTCACTCGAACAACTTCAACAAAACAAACTCAAAAATCCCAAAATGAATAGCATTTTATTTGAAAATTGGAAAGCAGGAAGCGAATGTTTTTTTCAGTACATTTCTGAAAGTCGCATGATGTCAAGGAAAGAAGGTCTGTTTATGGAACGAGCTTTAATTGCTGCTCTGAAGTTTCTATCAACTAACTGTAACCGATATCACGGCATGTCTCAAAATCACCGCGAAATAGTTCACACGCTTGGTGTGACTGAAGACACTATTACTCAAATTGGCGTAGCTGAGCTGGTTCGACACTTTAAACAACATCAGTTTGACATTGACCTTGCAACTCCAGTCAAACTTTACAGTGATCAAATTACTCGCTATCCGGCAAACACTCCTAAAAATTTTCTGTAAGATTTGCTTGATGTTTTATCTGTGTATGCCCACTTAACCTTGTTATTTTCAGATCGACAAGTGCACTTGAAACTATGCAGATACCACCTTATTCGCTTACTCGTACTACAGTTTCAGAAGAACTGCACCAAATCTATGCTGAGCATTTTTTCATT